GTCCATGAGTCTATTTCTGTCCTGAACAGGACTTTTTTTTTTAACCATTATCCTAACTCTCACACTCAACTGCATCCAATTCTCTTGATTACTTTTTTTTTAATATAACGTACACCTTATTCCTTTTTGCTTTCTGGGATAAATCATATTTTTACATGTTTCATCTCTATACGTGTTCTTCAACACTGCTTTCTTCCTCTGCTGGCTGTCTTACCCGTATACATTCTTTCTTAATCATTTTCTTTGCCAATAACTCATACCTCAATAACCCAGTTAAAATTTAAATTATGACTTTTTAGCCAAAATCCTCAATCTCTGATGAAAGTAAAAAAAGAGCAGAAATCAACTCAAGAGCCATAAGACTGTTGCAATACTTACAAATATCTTAATGCTGGCAATTTAAAAAGATAAGTATCTTCAACTGTTGTCAAAGGATTATGACAGAATTTTGAAGAATGGAATGGCATTAAAATTATCTGCAAGATAACATCCATTAAAGTTTATATTCATTTTTTTGATATAGAACTCGAAGCTAAAAAAAAAAAAATTCTGAATCTACCTATAAGTCACCCTTAGAATTTGTAAAGCACTCTTCATTTGGGAACTACCCAGGTGTCTAGATGATAAAGTGGAGAACAGAAAGAGAAAAAGAAAAAAAGTGGATAGCAAAGAAAAAAATATGCCAAAAACCCTAGAAGGAACTATGCTGGTAGGAAGCCGTTCCTCTGTAAGAAATACTATTTCTAGTATCCTCCATAATTCAAGGCATTTTTCTTTCATCTCTAGAAATTTTTAAAATTTCATGTTTTAAACTACCCAGTTAAACACTAAAGTAGGACCAATCCCTTGGTTCTGGAGCTGAAGAAGAGAAAAATACAAGAGGAGCTGGGGAGAGCCACGCTCCCACTGCACACTCCCATATGTGTTCTTGTATCACAGCCTTTGCTACCTTATGTGGAATCACCTGCTTGCTTGTCAGTCTCCTGGATTGTCAGCTCCATGAGAGCAGGGACTACATTTTATTGTCATTGTCATCTCAGTGCCTGACACAGTGCCTAATATTTACTAGGTACTTAATAAATATTTGTTGCATAAATAACATTTTGTTTATATATCAACAAAGTGACAAATTCATTTTCTGGAACAAATTTTTATTCCAAAATTCTGGAAAAGATTTTCTTCTCAATTCTTTAAAACAAACAAGAAAAAGAAAAATTTTTTGTATACCCAAAGAAACAGGAAGAAAGAAAAGAAAATCTGCCTTTAGGTTAATTAGTGAATCATTAATGTACTTTTACAGAATATTATAAAGATTATCACAAATAATACCCTTTGGATTGCCAGCTATCTATGATCAACATTTAATATTTAATCCTCACAGTAACCTTATGTGATAGATATTATTATTATCCCATTTTACAGATGAGGAAACCAAGGCACAGAGAAGTTATGTAACTTGTCCTAAGGCATCAAGCTAGTAAGAAGCAGAGCTGGAACCTGAACTCTGTTCTGACTCCAAAGCCTGTGTTTAACCTGAATTAAAAAAAAAAAAAAAGGAGTGTGTTTAAAATAACTATTACTTTAACCTTAAGTCTGAGGGCACTAAATATAGAAATACTTTTTCAAATTTCATTTCCCCATCTGGGAGAGCCTCAATGAGAATAACATTATTCTTTTTTATTTCATTTCTTCAATTATCTCCCATGATTAAATATTTAATTGGCCTATGGTCATTGAGGCTTTAGAGATTTTAAACCATGTTGCAGGCTAATCAGTAAAAACGGTGGAGTGAGGACATCTGAAAATTCATCCCTCCATAAAAACAACAACTGGCAAAAATGGTCAGAATCAACTTTCTCAGAACTCTGGAAATTTAACCAACTGGCTTGTAGCAATCTGGGGAGCAATTTATTTAAGAAAAACAAATTAACATCTGTAAGGACAGTGAGATCTGTATTGCTTTAGCTTGTCCTAGACCATGACAGTGATAGCCTTGAAAAATAGCCCACATCCTAATAACCAAAAACTTCCCCAACTTGGGAAAGGAAACAGTTACCCACATCCAGGAAGCGCAGAGAGTTCCACACAGGATCAACCCAAAGAGGAACACACCAAGGCACACAGTAATCAAAGCGACAAAAATTAAGGATGAGGAGGAAATATTAAACCTAGCAGTACCCATACATCCTCTGAGAATAAATAAATAAGTTGAATTACCTCCCACCACCAAAAAAACCCCCCAAAAAACCCCAAAGTTAAAAATGGTGCTTTATTAATTAATTAGCTCTGGCTGGCCTTTGAGGTGGACCTCAGATTCAAAATAGACTCTAGCACACCTCTAACTTGTTCACCTGGTGTTTGTCAATAACATAGAGGTTTCATTCAAGAAACCTACTGAGTTATAATTACCTGAAACCCAGTGATGAATCAAGGTTTTGTGGGGCTTAAAATTCATCTATGTTGGAAAAATCCTAATTAAAAACATGCAAAGTTATAAACACAAAAACTGCTAGGATCCCTCCCAAGACCTTGGAAGGGACCTAGGCAAGTAGGGAGTCCTGCAGCTTCAGCTTCATTTAATTCATGACAAATTCACCTCAGCTGGGGCCCTTTTCCAGACTTATTTAATGCAGAGGACAATATTATCT